CCCCCAAAAAAAAAAAAAAAAAAAAAGAAAGAAAGAAATATAAGAAGAAAAACTATGGAGAGAGAAAAAGAGAGAGAGAAGCAAGAACTCTTTTTTGTTGTTGTAGAGCATGCACGGGCTTGCCAGAGAGGACAGCGACAGACAGAGGGAAAGTGAGAAGTCACCCCCCAGGGGGACAGCCCCAAGGAAACCTCTTACCAAAAGGATGCGCCGAAGCTGTCTAGACAGGCGGACCGAATTTTCGTGCAGCCCCTCCCAGGCCTTGAAACTTCTTTCATGGTTTTCTACAAAAGTATTCCAGCAGTAAAAATAATCTTAAAAAAAAAAAAAAGAAGTAAGTGTGAGGTGAGATCATTCAGGTTCCAAGTAGAAGGGAAAGGAAGAAAGTGACAGTTCCAGTTTCCGGCTTCCCCGGGGCCTCGTCTCCAAGCTCTTCTTTTTCTCAATATCTAATCAGCAATTCCGGCCTCCACGGTGAAACAGAACCCTCGTAAATTGTGCACCTGCGCTCCCCCCAGACCTTCCCCTCCACACGGCCACCCCGTGCGGTCTGGGCACGAGCCCCCCTTGCACCTTTGAAGGTCATGATGGCCAGCTGAACCCCAGCGCGGTGCAGGCGCCGCAGCCCCTCGGGCTCAGCCTTCTGGTCCTCGCAGAAGTAGAGTCGCGCCGTGAAGATCCTCAGAGTGAGGTTGGGGTACCCTCTCAGAAAGTCAGCCACGTGTCGGGCACAGTCGTAGCAGGGGCTCCAGGAGGTGAACCAGGTGACCCGGTAGCACCGGTCGGGGTCCAGGTCCCAGTCGGAGATGTAGCGGAGGAAGAGCAATTCCACGTGGCAACCCGACTGGGGAGAAAGCAGAGCATGGGCTGACCTGCATTGACCTTCTGGAAGCTTCCCCGTCCATCTCTCCCCCTAGGATCTTTTGAGATGCCTGGAGTTACTGTCCCGTGTTACAGAGAGGGCGGCCCACGGGCTGGAAAGGTACACCAGCAAGCGGCAAGTCAGACCCTTATGTAGCGCTGGTCCGGGGGGAAGAAAGGCTACGGAGTTCTGTGGAATGTGGAGGATGCACGGAATGACTTGAGTGTGGAGAAAGGCGCTCCAGTAGCCCCCGGACTGAGTCGAGCACCCAGACCTTGGCTCTGTTTCCTCAGCGTGAAAACGGGCTGGTGAGGTGAGCTTTAAAAGGAAGGCTTGGATAAAACCAGAGCCTTCAATAAATAGAATGAGTCGAGAGAGAAGAGAGGGATGCAAAATCAGGGTGCTAGGGTCGACTATTCAGTACAAACGTAGGCAAGGAAAACTGCATGGTGGGACCAGCAGTTGGCGTAATGGCTATGTCGCTGGACTCCCACGTAGTCGACCGTGGTTCGAGTCCCGGACCCGGTGGTTTAAACTCACACTGGGCGCGTGTGCGTGCGTGCCCAAGATCCCGAGAGGAGAGTGGAGGAGCA